CTGTTTCGTACTGTAATTTAGCCACGTGATGATAACAGCTAACGCCGCGAGAGAACCCAGTTTGTTCAGGGGGTATAATGTCATGTGAATCGCAGTGTTTTCGGATGTGAATGAGGATTAGTTTCTCATATATTTTTGAGATATGGTCGAGGAGACTGATCGGCCGATAATCTTCCGGGACCGTTCCTCGTTTCCGGGGTTCGAGGAGTGGAACGACAATAGCATGTTTCCACTCCGTTGGGAAATATCTGAGGCGTGAGCATGAGTTAAAAATGTTAAGGAGAAACATTAGGGTTTTTCGGGGTAGTTGTTTGATAAGGACAGAAGGAATATTGTCCTTTCCTGCAGACTTGTTTCCCTTTGTTTTTCTCAAAATTGCAGTCAGGTCTTTATATGTGGAGAATATTGAGTTATTTAGGTTATCCGTGAGGGGGATGTGATGATAAATGGTGTCAGTACGGGCATCGTCTCGTTCTACGTAGTAGTCTGATAGAATGTTAGCCTGATCTGCAGGAGTGAGAAGCTCATCGCCTCGGAGGATTTTCACCGATTTGGATTTGGTGTTGTGGCTTCTGACTAGCTTCCAGAATTTTTTATGGTCGTTGTGGGTCCGGCGAAGTTGATCATGCCATATTGACGTTTTCCACTGCGACATAAGGGATGTTATTTGTCTAGTGAGGCTGTTTATGATAGGTTTGTAAGTAGGGTCTTTGGTTCTGTACCAGCAATTCTTGATGTTGTTACGTTGTTTTACGATTGATAGGATATGTTTTGGTGGTAGGCGTAGGTGAATTGGAATGGGGTTGAAGGTGGGTATGGTGGTGTTAGCTGCATTATGGATAATGTTGTGTAATGTACCAATGGCGTTGTCGATGTCAATAGTTGTTGTAAGTGTCGTGATGTTTGGTGTGTCACTATATACTTGTGTCTTGTATTGTTTCCAGTCAGCGTGTTTGAAATTTTATTTGTAGTCTACGGGTTGAGTTAGGGTTGAGTTATGTCCTAGTTCGTATAGTACAGGTATGTGGTCGTTATTGCTAAAGTCTATCGTGTTGCAGTTTGTGAATCTGTGTAGTTGTTGTGTGAGTAATAGATCAAGTGTAGACGTGATATTTGGGTTAGCATGATGTCTATAAGTGTATGCATTAGGGTGTATGATTGTATAAGTAGATTTGGTCAGGAAGTTTCCTAATGCATTAGAGTTTGTGCAGTTCCATGTATGGTGTTTGGCGTTGAGATCTCCTACTATTATGTGACGTTTGTCTGTCTCGGTGTCCTTCAGAAATAGTTTTAATATGTCAGGTTTTCCACTAGGACTACGGTAAATGCATGTAATTTTGTATGTATGTTCAAGTTTTACTTGTATAGTAAATGATGAGTGATTGTCATCATTTAGTGTAGTGTTGTTTAATAATCTGGAAGGGACGTCATAACGCACCATGTGATGGGGAATCTAGTCGGTATATGTGGTACCCGGGGAAGTATATGTGAGTTAGTTTGTTGATTCGTGTATCAGTCAGTGCAACGACTGATGGCTTGTGCGAAGCCAGGAGAGTTTCTAGCTCAAGTTTACTAAGCATGAGCCCTGTTATGTTATAGTTTATAATCAAATGTCTAACCATTGATGTTTTTTTGAAGTATAAGGTTAACTGTGTTTAATAGGGTTGTGAACATGGACTTCATGTCCCTGAACATGCCCACGAGTTCGGAGACCCATGGGGGCTGTTCATAGAGTGGGGATTGGGTGGTGGGAGGTGGAGCTAGGTGGGCTACTCCCGCATAAGAGTCGGGTCTTGAGGTGGTGGGCGGAGCTTGTGATGCTTTACCCTTTTGTTCTTGTCTGGGATTTGTTGCTGTATTTCTTCCAGCATGAGCCTGCACTATGTTTTGTAATAGTGCAAGTCTCTTTTCGCAATTGCGATAAGAGGCCACATGAGGGCCCTGACAATTTGCGCATTTGAGGGGGGTGTTTCGGGAGCATTCGCTGATGTCGTGGTGTTTACCACATCGTACGCATTTTATCTTGCGGGCACAGTAATTTTTTGTATGTCCAAATTGCTGACAGTTGTAACACTGCCTGGGACCATTGATGTTCCTCAGTTTCTCAACTGAGTACCCCATATGGTCGATTGGACCAACTGCTTTGAGGTTGTCAATGGTAGTGTCAGGTTCTGTCGTGACTATGATATGTGGCAGTTCTATTTTGAAGCCATCTGCGTCGGTCTTTTTCATCCTCCATACAGATTTGAGTCCGGATAAGCGGGCTTGGAGGGTTTCTGTAATTGAATCAAGGTCATGGTCAAGGTCCAGACCTTTAATGATAAATTTATTAAGCGGCCTTGATCCGCGTGGGGAGTAGGTGTGAAAATCAATTTCATCGCTGACATTTAGAACATGTATTGCAGCTTCGTAGTCAGGTTTGAGGTCCAAATACAATTTGGTTTCGTCCCTATTTGAACGAATGGTAAAGTTTTTAATTTTAGCATCTAATAGAGCTTTTCGTAATGCCATAGCGAACATTGCTGGTCTGATAATAATAGGAGGTGGTTTAAACGTTTTTGGCGTGGTAGAGTTTTTGTATTGTGTATTGTTGCTACTGGATGGTGTAGGATCCGTGTTATTATTAATTGTCTGTAGTGCAGAAAAACTGTTGGATGTTCTCGTCGGTATGATAGTTGGTCTTGGTGCGTACGAAATTTTCTTAGGTATAATGTAGCCTTCAAAGTCAGTTTTTTCGTCCTGATTGTACCTTTTCAGTTTATTTGTGGGAGAGTTGAGGTGTTCCATTGTGCTATGTTGTATCTGTGGGTTATGTTCTGAGTTGTTGTTAGTAAGTGTTGGCGTCATGATGGTGATTTAATAAAATTGTAAGTTAACTTAGAAAAATTAATGAACCAAAAGGTTAATAATAAAGCTACGTACTTACGTGAACCTCACATAATGCAGGAGCACACAAGAACGAGGAGTAAACAATACGGAAAACCGTTGAAAACCGTTAAAAACCGTTAAGAGCTGTAGTGACGTCACCAGCGACGTACACTGCAAGCGAGCCAGGAACAGAGGTCTTGATAACTGACAATTTTGGTTTGACTGGCGTATTCATTCAGCCAAGACCAAATCGGCTACCAAGAGTAGTTACTATAATAGTTATTTTGAGCTTTAGTCAGTATATGTTATCGCCATTACAATTTATTAATAAAAAGTATTTACAATCAATATGCATATTTCAATTTACAATTTAAGAATTTTATAATACAACAATAAGAAATCAAAATTACAATCTTTAGCATGTTGCACGGGCGAGCTTGTACAGCGCTGCCTGGTAGCGGGAAGTCAAACTCGTTCCTGATATTGAGAACGGAAACTGTTGCCGTGGGAATCTGTCGCCGATACTAGCACATATTGACTAAGGAAAATCAACCCGAGAATGAAGCATGGCTCTATTAGCCTAACAAATGTCCTGTTCTCTCTCTAGATGAAGCCATTCATTTCAGAACAAGTATTTTTTTCATTGACTTATTGTCAAACTCATCTCCATTATCTGACATAATTAAACTTTGAATTTGATGACCAGCACGAGATACCAAATTTAAGAGATTCAAGAATTTTTGCACTATAGATTTCTCCATAATGAAATAAATGAAGCGATAGCAAGTGTAATCAGGCTTAAACAATGCATAATAGCGATACCCCGAAAATGATGGTTCGAATCGGTCCTCATAGATCAGCATGGATAATTTCTCTAGGGGAGGTCTTTTTCTTTTTCCAAACTTCAGCCTTTGGGCCTTTCCTTTCATGCACCCTTCACAAACCTCAGAACCTAAATTTACTTTAATATTGAACTCTTACTATTAAGGTTTAAACGTTTTTTTTTTCAGGTTAGTAAGACGTTCATCGTATAACTGTAATAGATCACGATCAGAATAAATAGAAGTAATATCAGAGTTATTCAAAATATTTAATTTAAATAAGCATCTATGATATTATCGCTGGCCTGTGAGAATAACATTATTGTTGACCAATAATTTACAATTTTCTAGTGTAGATATAAATTTACTGTGAATATTTGGTACTGAATTGTGGTTTTCATTTTAATTGGTATATTAATCTATTTTTTAAAAGAACAAATCCAGCTTTAATTTAATAGATTCTTTTTTTAAACTTTTTTTTAAAACTTTTTTTTTTTAAACTTTTCATTAAGAGACCTACCGATTACCTATCTCAGTTGGGAACATTTGTAATAGAAATCAGAGAGCACATCTAGACCATATTTATAGGAAACATAAAAATAAATTTTAAGCACTTATTTGTTTCTTCTTAAAAATTAACTGAAGTGGAGTTATGTTTTAATTGATTATCCATGATATTTAATCGACCAATGAAAACAATTTGAATTTGGGCAAGTGTCACTGTTGATAATACATCATTGATTCTTAAATGTTTCTCCGTTAACTATATTTATTTTATATCTTTCTTTTGAAATGTCATTAATTAATTTTAAACTTGAAAGAGTCATGTATGAGTGATTATAGCGCCTCTGATCAGCCTCTACTGGTCCTAAATGCCAGTAATGCGACTGAGTGAAAGCCGTTGGGATCTTCTGGAATCCTGCCTTTCCTTCCACGAGTGGGAAGAAAGGCTTGGCTCGGAGATCTTGAGTGAATGATTTTTTTATTATTTTTTATATATTGTACAGAAGCATGTGTGTATGTGGTTATTTATTTTTATTAGTTTAGTTTCTTTTTGCTACGTTTAGTTTATTTTAGTCTAAATACATTAACTTTAAATATTATTGTTTTTCTTTATTATTTTTTTGTATCTATTGTTGATAGAGTGTGAATGTGGTTTCTGAACACTGTTATAAATATCCTTAATTGTGACAAATTGTAATATCTCTCAATAAAGATGTTTAAAAACAAAATCTTGAAAGTTAAACCTTCTATTAATCTTTCTTTTTCAAATATTTTGTCATTTTTCAGTCGTTATTTGTATTTTCACAGGAGGCCGGCAAAGTTTTGGTAGCAGGAATAAAAATGGTGGTCGACGGAAGAATCCTAAAATAATGACTGCTACTAAACCTGATAGTGAAGAAGAACCTGAAACCTTCTTTCGTAAGTTTTAATTTTTGTTAAATTAAATGCCTTATCATAAGATCTCACCTTATTTTTTATTATAATTCGGTTGATTTCTTAGAAAAGTTATTCTAATATAATTACTGAAGTTCTGCGCATGCGTTAGCCCTAGTTAAACATACGTCAGGTCGTTTCTCTGTGCTGACCAGACCTCTCCAAGCGCGCTTCTGTCTTTTCGTGTTCAATATTTTTTTTTTCCTCGCTTCACTTTTATCAATTTTTCTTTTAAAAATTAATATGAAATGCGATATTATCACATGCTAATGTCGAGTAAGGGCAAAAACACTAGGTCCAGGAGCCTCGATACTACAATGAGTTCCCCATTAAAAAAAAGACAAGGCGTTCGAAAAGAAACACTCCACCAGCCACACCAGGAAGATCCGTAGAAGAAGTGGAACCCCAACCTGGCACCTCACAACAACCAAACAATTATGAGACAGCTCAAGCTATGGGTGAAGAATCGCTTTCAAATACACATAACGAACAAATGGAAGCAGCATCCATCCCCAGAGAACCCAAACCCCCACCAATATTTGTTAGATGTGTCATCAATTGAATAATCTAGTAGGTTCAGGAAAACATTTATGCCAAAGCAGCACCAATGACACTAAATTAATGCCCAACACTCCAGAAACTTATAGAAAAATTATAAAATATATATCTGACACCAAGGCTGATGACCAGACCTATCAACTGCGTCAAGAGAGGGCGCTCAGGGTCGTTATCAGAAGACTGCACCCATCTACGCCAACAGATGCTATAAAAGAAGAGCTCATGGGTATGGGATTCCATGTTCGCCAGATAGTGAACATATTCAAGGAAGATAGAGAACAGCCTGGAATAAAAAATAAAATACCTCTTCCACTATTCTTCGTTGTCCTTCACAGAACACCCGATGTCGAAAACATCTACAAGGTCACACGCCTTTATTATACAAGCGTTGTTGTAGAAAAGCCATACAGCAAGCACCACATCGTTCAATGCCATAACTGCCAGGCTTATGGCCTTACGAAACGGCATTGTCATCACATTCCTAGATGTGTGAGGTGTGGTGAGCAACACTAAACAGAAGACTGTAGGAAGTATAGAACTTCACCTGCAGTATGCGCTTTATGTCACCAAGGACACCCAGCCAACTACACGGGTTGTCAAACATACAAAAATTTAAAACCACGAATGTACGCAACGCCTAGAGAAGAAGGGACATCCAGGCCACCAAGACAATCCTCTAGAACAGTGAACAGAAGAGTGTTCTATGCTCAGATGTTCATAGGAGACACTGTAAACACTCAATCTGAGGCCCTGCCATAAGAACCTAAACCTCAAGAGTTCACACATCAACCTCAAGACCCATATCCCTCCATCCCTGAACGTAGGTTAAATACCCATACATTCATTCCTCCTCCTTCCAATTCCACTGGCCTCACAAGCCTACTGGCATCTTTCCTTTCCGAATTTAGTTCTCTCATTACCCCTCTTATTTCGCTACTTAACAATGTTATATCGAACCTCATTCCACTGCCAAGAAATCCACAAATGTCCTCAACCAAATTCCTCCCCATTCTCCTTTGGAATGCGAATGGTATTCGGAACCACATCAACGAACTGACAATCTTATTACATGACAAAAACATCTACATAGCACTAATAACTGAAACTCGACTAACCAACAAACGCCAAATCAACGTTCCCGGCTACAATATTTATCGAACCGACCATCCTGATAGAACAGCTCATGGTGGCACTGCCATAATTATCCATAGATCCGTTTCCCATCATTTGTTTCTCTTACCAAGCCATAATTTCCTACAATCCACAGCCGTAATAATCCAAACACCCCTTTACCCAATAACACTATTTGCGGCATATTCCCAGCCTAAAACACCCATTTCCGAATCCCAAATTATTTCCTTCCTGAATTCCTTAGGGCACCACTTCCTCCTATGTGCTGATCTAAATGCAAAACACCAGCAATGGGGAGCCAGGTCCACAAATTCCCGAGAGCGAACATTGCTAAATGCACTTAATTCCCATCGCAGCAACATCCTTTCACCTAATACTCCCACATACTGGCCAACAGATCCCTACCGCAATCACGACCTTCTAGACTTTTTCCTACACAAAGGTCTAGGATCACAACACTGTTCCATTTCAAGGTTTGGTGATCTTTCCTCAGACCATAGTCCTCTAGTCCTAACCGTTTCCACATCTCCCATTTCCAAATCATCCCCACCTTAATTTATCAGGGGGTCAGTTAACTGCAACCTTTTCCGTCAAATTCCGTCCGTGCTACTCTGTTCCAGCAAGCAGCTTGGAATGCATCCTCATCTGATCATCCCAAAAAATACCATAACATAAATCCTTTACCTCAAAACCTACTGGACCTTATCCATAGCAAACGTTGCTCTAGGACACTTTGGCAAAGAACCAGGCATCCTGATGACCGGAAATCGTATAATTATTATTCCAAACAGGTAAAAAAGAAACTGGATACCTTTAGAACCCAATCCTACAATTCCTACCTCTCCTCATTATCCGCTAGTGATAACTCCCTCCGGAATGTAACAAAAAAAATCCTTAAATTCCAGTCCATTTCCCATCCACTTCGCCTTGATGATGGTTCCTGGCCTTCGTCAAATGCGAATAGAGCAGAAGAGTTTGCTAAACATCTATCCTACACATTCACCCCTCATCCCGAACTCCATCCCACCCACACTGCTGAAGTTGAAGAATTCCTCTCTTCACCAATTCCTCTCTCTCTACCTCCAAAAACTGTTAACCCCTCTGAGGTCAAACTCCTTATAAACAAATTAAAACCAAGAAAATCCCTTGGATATGACCTCCTCACTTCACAAATCCTCAGACAACTTCCCAAAAAAGCAATCATATTCCTTACCTATCTATACAACTGCATCCTTCGTACAACCAACTTTCCATTGGTGTGGAAACACTCAATAATCATCCTGTTTCCAAAACCAGGTAATCCGTTTAATAACACATCATCCTATAGACCGATAAGCTTACTCCCGATCCTCTCAAAAATCTTTGAGAAAATCCTTCTCAAACGGATCCTACCCATAATCGAATCCCACAACATCCCTTCTCATCAATTTGGATTCCGCTCAAGACACTCCACTGTCCAACAAGGCCTTCGCGTTGTGGTCCATATATCCTCTGCACTTGAAAACAAGCATTATTGCACTGGTGCCTTTCTGGACGTAGCACAATCTTTCGACTGGGTGTGGCACGATGGCTTGCTTTTCAAGCACAAAACCCATTTACCCCAATCCTTACACCTAGTCCTCAAATCCTACCTCTCAAATCGTTCCTTTCAAGTCCGTTGTGACACAAAATTCTCCACTTACTATCCAGTTGTGGCTGGTGTTCCACGAGGTAGTGTCTTGGGCCCATTTCTCTACATCCTCTTCACTTCCGATATCCCTTCAAATCCCGATACATTTCTAGCTACATTTGCTGATGATACTGCCATTCTATCCTCCCACTCAGATCCTCAAATAGCATCTCTAAACCTACAATCTCACCTCTCCTTGATTGAGCAGTGGTGCAACAACTGGCGCATCAAAATCAATGAATCAAAATGCAAACATATCACTTTCACCCTGCGACGCAGATCCTGTTCGCCAATCCTTTTCAATTCAATTCCACTTCCCTACTCAGACACATTCCGTTACCTTGGCTTCCTTCTAGACAAAAGACTAACTTGGAACCCACATACCAGACTTAAAAGACAAGAACTTAACCGACGATATGACCAGATTACTAAGTAGGACTTCTCATCTTTCGATTGAAAATAAACTTTTAATCTACAAGACAATACTGAAACCTATCTGGACCTACGGACTTGAACTGTGGGGAACTGCTAAACATTCGAATATCAAACGCATCCAATCCTTCCAGTTCAAGGTACTTAGAACAATAGCCAACGCCACATATTATGTCACAAATAAGACCCTACACCATGACCTTAACATCCCATTTGTCCTCGACATCATCCTATCCAGATTCCCATACTTTCACTAGAACCTTATCCATCATCCAAATCCTCTAGTTCAATCCCTATCTAGCTCCCTTCATCCCTACAATCCTCCACGAAGGTTAAAACGGCAGTGGCCCAGAGATCTCTTGTAAATATGGTTCTGGAGTTCTGGAAATGGCCAGCTTCTCCACTCATGTCCTGAGCATCTGTGGCTCTAGTGCCCCCTTTCAGTCTCCACTGGCTTCTAATATTAGTGATGCAGCTGGAAAAGTGGCACTGGGATCTTTTGGGGTCTTGCTTTGCCTTCCACATGTGGGGGAAAAAGCCTGGCTCGGAGACTCCTGGGCGAATGTATATATTGTATATAGGTATGATTGTGTTTAGAAGTTTCTATTTTATGTTATTTGTTTACTTTTTTTTCTTTTGTTTACTTTCCTCATCAGTATTATTTATTTACTTTTTATATTTATATTTATTTCTCTATTATTTGTATATATTGTATGAATGAGAGCTCTTAGCCCTCCAGCAGTGGCTGATTGTATTATTATTCAGTAAATAGATTATTAAATATAAATATATATATATATATATATATATATATATATATATATATATATTTACTGTAAATCAATATATTTATAACCTGCATAGGTCATTCTTCATTAAGTTGCTACAAGCAGGACTTCTGTTTCTAATAAAAATAAAAAAATAAAACTTTTAGTATTCCTAAAGTTTTTTTTTTAAATCTTATTTATTGAAAAATATTACAATCTGTCTCAAGGACATTTATAATAGTGTTCACAGATCACATTCACATTCTATGTACAGTAAATAAAATAAATTATACAGAAAAATAATATATAGAAATAGAAAAATCATCTTTATTCTGGGACTAGGTCCCTTTAGAATAACAGTATTGTTCATATATATTAACTACAAATCTGGTCAAAAGACTTATTACAATGAATAATGACAAAATTGT